TTTGTGAAAGTCTGTAAAATATTGTAAATTCATTTTCAATTTTTTAATAAAGACATGCCATTGTGGCATGATTGCGGATTAAAAAAAAAAAAAAAAATTATTGATTAATATCTTTAAAAAGGTATTTTTTTAAATCTTATAGTTTAAAAATAATGAAACTTCAAAATTCTTTTTAGTAAACTTTTCTTTTAAATAACAAAGATCTATTTCCATTACCTTTATTTTTTATTTATTTATTTCAAAAATTTAAACTTGATTGTTTAAAATAATAAAGCTAGATCAAGAAAGTAAAAAAATATTCTTTTTGATTTCCTACAGAAATTTCAAACTTTAGAAAGAAATGTCAAGGTTATCTAACTTATACTAATTTAAAAACCAATATATCTATCACAAGCCATAACTTGTTTCTTTTTTTTAAGATACTGTATATATTTACTTTAGATTAATAAATATTAATATTTTTAGTTAAAGAGGCGTTTTCCCAAATCAAATATAAAATAATAAATTGCGCTCAATGCTGTATTTAAATTTTAGTTCAAGCTAAATAGAGACACATTGGATAAAAATGTAACTTTATTGCTATATATGATCATGAAAAGTAAAATAATATCCAATAAAATAATCAAATAGTAAATAAAAAAATTTTTTTGTTTTTTTATATCATTTTAACTAAGATAAATCATTGACCATTTGACTCGTTTAAAGAATAAAGGAATTTGGATTATTTGCAATCGATCAATGAAAATTATTCGTGGAACCTGAATGATAATCATGTATTATAGTTTAATATATTGTGTTATTCCCAAATTACGTGGTCATTGTTTGGATAAATTCTGATTTCATCCTCGATGCCTTTTGGACAGGTATCCGAATGAAAGCAAAAAAAAAAAAATTCTTAGCGATGTTATGGTGATTGAATGGATTGTTTTTCTTTGCAGATCGTCATTGGCCCTCCCGGATCCGGAAAAACTACATATTGTTATGGCATGCAACAATTTTTCAATGGTATCGAGAGGTAATGGATTTCATGTGTGTAAATTCAAAATAGCTGTTCCAAGATAACTTATGAAAGAAATATTTCTTAAAGAAAAACTTCGGTAGTAAATCTTGATCCAGCAAATGAATTTTTACCATATAAAAGTGCCGTAAACATAGCGGATCTTATTGTTTTACAAGATGTAATGGAAGAATTAAAATTGGGACCGAATGGAGGAATGATGTATTGTATGGAATTTTTGGAAAAGAATTTTGATTGGCTCGAAGGGCAATTGAAGAATTTGGGAGGTTTGCACTCTTCGTTTTCTCTATACTCTGCCTTGGAATATGCACTCGAATTCAATTTGTCAATAATTGCACCAAACAGACGATTATATTCTATTCGACTTTCCTGGTCAGGTGGAGCTATTTACACACCATGATTCGGTTAAAAACATTATAGAAAGATTACAGAAACTGAACTATCGGGTAACCATATTATATCGATTGTTAGACATTTTGCATAATTCTGCTTCGACATAAATCGAATTCTCATTTTTCTTGAATAGCTTGCGACAGTTCATCTAGTTGATGCTCATTATTGCACCGATCCAGCCAAGTATATTTCCATATTGCTATTATCTCTCAAGACAATGATACAGATTGAGTTACCACACATCAATGTACTTTCAAAAGTGGACTTAATGGAATCTTATGGAAAACTGGGTAAAAAAGATACCTCACTTTACATCATGTAATTATCATGTATATCTGTCGCTCCTTCATTATCTTTATTAATTGTTGTCATTATATACGTGCATGATGACAGCTTTCAACTTAGATTTCTATACGGAAGTACAGGATTTATCTTATTTGCTTCAGCATTTAGATGAAGATCCGTTTACCGGTCGGTTTAAAGAACTAAATAAAGCACTTTGCGAATTGGTAGAAGATTATAGTTTAGTCGGATTTCACACGCTTTGCATCGAGGTAGGTGGTTGGTTTTATCGTGCCTGCATCTTTTTCCACTAGGATGTATCTAATGTGGAACTCGATCGCAGGACAAAAACTCTGTTTTGAAACTCGTGCAGGCAATAGATAAAGCAAATGGATATGCGTTTGGTGGATTGACACGCGGTAATGAAAGTATCATGATGACGGTTATTGGTGGTGAACCGAGCTATCATGAAATTATGGAGGTTCAAGAAAGATGGCTGGATCATAAGGATGTGTGGGATGAATGGGAGGCTCAACAGCTGCAACAAGAAATGGAACAAAATAGAATGGATGAGGTTAATGAATGAATCGACCTGTGGTAGGAAATCTGGGAAAATATTCGCATATATTAATTAGCCTTTTTTTTCATAAATTTTCGACTTTTTTGATGGTGAAGACACGTCGACATATACTGTATACTTTTATGTAAAAACAAGTGCATGCATGCATTTCACTACCATCCTTTACCAAATATTACATATTATTGTAGAAATAAAAGTGCATCCTTCATTCGATTTTGTCAATCGATTCGTAAGAGAGAGCAGTGCTATCAAATACATTTGAATTGCTAGGTATTTTTCCAATACCTCCCAATCCATTACTTATTCTACCGATGCCTAGTCATAATGAGTTTCTTGATATATAGAATTGGGTACAAGAATGAAATCTAATTCTTACCTGGATTTTTGAAACGGCCACTGCCAATACTTTGCACTTTCCGAAAACCCTCATCTCGACTCTTTAAATTTGTGCCATCTCCGATATCAGTTCTCTTTTCGGTGGTAGTTTCATTGTATTTGGGTGTAGTGCTTGCGTTCTCCGAAATATCCCTCGCAGCATCTGAAGATGAGGTTGACATTTCACGCTGGAAAAACGAAGGTATTTGAGTTTCACCTGGTTGATCGGGTGTAATAACGATGATTACTGCAAAAATTCTTTCGAAATTCTGTAAGCGCAAAAGAAGTATACTAAATCCTACTGATGCTAATTATTCTATCGACCTCTCCCCTTTGCGATTCTAGAGTCGAAGAAAAATCATTCAAAGCGTCCATAAACGGGGTATTCGTATTCGTTCGTCGATGAGAAAATAATACGCGAGTGGAGTGTCTGAAGTAGGACATCGTTTAAAATCACAATTTGAATCCTCCGATTAAAGGCAAACTTCTCCATCTCGGATGTTTATTAAATATAGTTATTACAAAATGTATGAGGTAATTAATTCCGATAATATGTCATTATTACGTGTGGCAGCAGTATCATCGCGATTGCGATCCAATTCATTCATATCATTGCATTCTCAGTTATAGTTTGCGTCCAAACTATAATAAAATAAATTAACTGTTATACGTGTTCAAATTTTATTTATTTTTTTTTTAATTTGGGTGGCAACTATATTCTCAACATACGGTATGTAACGTGAGCAACTAGAACGGGTTCATTGAAACTTATTATTGATAGCTTTATAATTACACAGTATATCTTTGATGGTATTTATAAAAGTTTTCAAAGTTAATTTGCGGTTATCCCATTTTAAAAAGAAAGAAGAAAAGAAAAAAAATCCCTCGTCATTTGATTTTTACTACGTACTGGCAATGTGGGCTGTGCATTAACTAACGCGTCTCACAAATCGTCTTTTACCTATTCCCAATGAATAAATCGGGAAGATGTGTGACAGAACTGAACAAATTTGTTTGTGATGTAAATGGAGTTTTCTTGGAAAACTTAGGCGAACAATCTTGCCCAGTAATGTGACTATGATTTCTTTTAATTTGTATGCGAGAATCCGAGGAATTATTGTACAACCATTAATTTCAGTTATATCACGTGTCCTTCACAATCACGTGATCACCGGCTCTTTTTTTCTTTAAATAGAAACAAACCACTTTTTTCGTACTCGAACGGGAATGTCTTGTACTGTGTTGATGGTATGTATCGAATTCACTATAGGACGGTGCATTCAAAACGGTCCTTTGTTAATTGATGCCGAGAGGCATGTATATAGGTCGCGGAGAAGCCTTCGCTCGCAGAAGCGATATCAAAACTCTTGGCACCTAATGGCCAGGTATTTGTTGATGATGGGGTTTTTACGAATACAATTGAAGGGAATACAGAATTCTCTTTTCGTTTATGCTTCAACAGTTTCAAACTCGCAAATCGATTACGCCGGTTCATGAGTATAGCGCAGAGTTTCGTGGATCCCCTAGTAGATTCAAGTTTACTTCGGTAACAGGTTCGTTAATTTCAAAGATTATGCTGATTGAAAGTATAATTGATTCTTCGATTAACTCGAAATCTGATCTTTTTGCAGGGCACGTATATAGGTAGGCGTTGCAAGTCGAAAATCCCTTCAACGGGGATTCCAAAATATAGTTTATACTTACTTAAAAATCCGTAATTCTCGAAACTTAAAGCTTAGACTTTACATCCAAACATAACAATTGGGATATTGATCCAGTATTGCTCTATGATGCGCCTACTATGAAAAAGGAGGCTTCAAAGGTATTTGTTGTTGTCGAATTGACTAGCATAATTAATCACGCCAACAAATTTCAAATTAATTGCCGTTGATTTTATAAAATTTTTAGACAAACATTTGCAAACACCTTCAACAAGAATCGAAAGGTAAATTCATGTGATCGCCGCTCAGATAAATTATATTAATGCGAACATGCTCTACAATGATTCAGATGTCGACTACGTTGTGCTCTGGTTGGATTGTGATCGTGAGGGAGAAAACATATGTTTCGAGATTATCGAAAATGTACGCAGTCGAATGAAGCAACCATCTGGAGGACAATCGAAGGACAGCCGAATTTTACGCGCAAAGTTTTCTTGTTGGTTTCTTTTTGTTTTCTTCGTTAGTCTTTCCTCTGTTCAATAACCTCGATTTCCTAATAACGTACTAATCTCGTCATGTTAGCAATCACGGCTGTTGATATTCGTAAAGCTTTGAATAATTTAGTGTATCCAAATAAGAATGAGGCACTAGGTTAGCATTTTCTTAAATGTTCGAAAAAAAAAAGGTTATCTACATCTTTCTTAAAAATGACATTTCTTCAGCGGTCGATGCCCGACAAGAATTGGACTTAAAGGTAGAAAGAATTCCAATTTCTATTTCATAATACGGGTTTTAGATTAAATAATGGATTTTTGTTAACTGATCAACCAGGTCGGCTGCGCATTCACGAGATTCCAGACTAGGTTTTTTCAAGGAAAATATGGAAACCTTGATTCTAGCGTAATTTCTTATGGCCCTTGTCAAACACCCACGCTCTCTTTCTGTGTTTTTCGACACGATCAGATTCAATCTTTTAGTCCGGAGACATATTGGACCTTGTCAATAACTGTCTCCAAACAGAGACCTGATGAAAATTGTGGACAGGAGATAAACCTTAGTTGGTCAAGGCATAGGGTGTTCGACAAGCAGGTCGCAAATTTGTTTCAGAACATGGTCAAAGAATTTAAAGAAGCAGAGTAGGTACTCGAGAATTGATACCCGTGTCAGCACAACCCCTATTTGTTCCATTTGTTTTAAGCATCACATTTGTTCTATCATGAAGAGTGGTTTCTGTCGATATTGAGAAGAAGACAAAGTCTAGACCACATGCCTTGAACACGGTTGGTTCTTATTTATAACACTTTCAATACTTAATATCTTTGCTAAGTCTTCATTCTTTGGCCTCTTATTTCCATAGGTAGAATTGTTAAAATTCTGTTCTTCTAACCTAGGAATTGGTCCACAAGATGCAGTAAGCATACCTAAAATTGTCTGTTCCAAACTACGGATTGTCTTTTCTGATTTATTTTTCTCACCTTCCGAACAATTAAGATGTCCACAGCGGAACGACTTTACACCCAAGGTTATATTTCGTATCCACGTACCGAAACTACTTCATATGCGAAAAGTTTCGACTTCGAGGAAGTTCTGAAGACTCAATCGCGTAATTTTACATGGTAAGTGGTTGCGTTGTATGTTATGTTGGTAAAAAGTGTATAGATGATGTGGAATTTTATTTCTGATGATAACGTAGGGGATCTTATTCCAAAGAGTTATTGGAAAGAGGAATCGAGCGTCCTACGGGAGGAACTGATGTCGGTAAGTACATGAAAAATGTATTTTTAGCTGTAATTTTTCTCAAATACTTTGTCATAATGACCTTTTTGGGATACATCGTAGGTGACCATCCGCCTATGTATGAGCTTAATTTTCGCAAATGCTCCAAGGTTTCCATTTTCTCTTAACGCATCATTTTTTAGAACACCGATGAGAGCAGTGCAGGAGGGCGAATTATCCGGAGACTCATGGAGGATCTACGAATATATAACTCTGCATTTTTTAGGATCGATTAGTCCCAATTTGAGATACCAGAAAACAAGCTATACCATCAAAGTCGGTAACGAACATTTCACATGCTCAGGTAGAGTTGAGTTCTTTCTTATTTTAGATTGTCACTTTGCAAGGAGTTTCTCAGGAATGTGTTTAAAATTGCATAAACAGGAACAAAAGTGATTCAACCTGGATTTTCTACAATAATGCACTGGTACGAATCTTTTGTATTTTCTTATTAAGGTGATCATGCTTTTTGATCGATGCATATTTAACAATTATTTAGGAACAAAATGTCTGACCAAAACATCCCAGAATATCGTCAAGGAGACATTTTAAAAGTAATTAGCGTTAAGATGACTGAAGGAAAAACCAGTCCACCAGATTACCTATCGGAGAGTGAAGTCATTGGTCTGGTATTACTACTTCTCTATTTTGATCATTTTTTTATTGCGAGAATTGGCTGATGAGGTTTAACTCTTTCGTTAACTGCAACAGATGGAAAAGCATGGTATAGGCACTGATGCCTCAATACCCGTTCATATTAACAACATATGCCAGAGAAATTATGTTACAGTGAGTTACTTCATATTTTTGTAATTATCGCATTTGGAAACATCTCATGATGTTTATTGCATAGGTTCGACATGGGGCACGAAGATTAGTTCCAACAAATTTGGGTAATTTTTTTGTGTTCTTTATATAAAACAGTCACCAAGAGATTTTATAATTCGATACATTGTTTTTTATTTACTGCAGGAATTGTCTTGATTCATGGGTAAAGAAGATCACGCATACTCTTATCGTTAATTGTCAATGTTTTATTGAATTTACATTTTGTTTATTCATATAGATATCGTATCCTTTGTGTTTTTATATGGTGTTGCAATTGGATTTTTTTTTTTTTTTCCTCAATGTTTAGATTTGTTGTACAGAAAAAATCGATCCAGATCTATCACTTCCCACTATGCGAAGTGACGTTGAGAAACAGTTGAATCATATAGCGACCGGGAAAGCTTCATACACTGAAGTTTTAGACCATTTCTTGAAATTATTCCGAGAGAAGTTTAAATACTTTGCAGAAAAGGTTTTTTTTTTTTGTTTTTTTTTTTGACTTCAAAATGCTGCTTATAATGTACTTACGGCCTAGAAAATTGAATTAAACTTTAGATTGACCAGATGGATGAATTGTTTGAGGCCACCTTTTCCCCACTTGCTTCAACAGGAAAAATTTTGTCAAAATGTGGGAAATGCAAACGGTATGGTGTATTTATGTACACTCTATTTTCTTTCTTTCTTTCTTTCTTCCTTACATACGTAATATTCTTTTTGATCTTACATAAAGTTATATGAAATTTATTCCGATGCGGTAAGTGAATTCTAATGCTTGTTGGTATCAAGCGGTATGCCAATTGATTAATTATTACTACTATTATTTTCCTTTCAAAAGACCCCAACGTTTACATTGCTCGCATTGTGACGAAACATACTCGCTGCCTCAAAATGGAAGCATCAAGGTAATTAATGAGATTTCTGCAATTTTACTGACTTCATGCTATTCACTGATATTTCTTCTTAAAAAGCTATATAAAGAGCTTCAATGTGTAGGTATATTTCAAATAGATCCGAAAATTCTAAATTATTCCAGATGTATTATTGATATATATATATATATATATATATATATATATTTGTTAGATAGCCTCTCGATGATTTTGAACTCGTATTGTTTTCCACCGGATCCAAAGGCACCGGATATCCTTTATGTCCCTATTGCTTTAACAATCCTCCTTTTGAGGACATCAAAAAAGGTAATTTTAGTTAAGGTTAATCAATCAAGTGTCAGCTATCATAATTTGTCAATTTATAACTCGTTAATGAACATAGGAATGGGGTGTAATAAATGCACGCATCCAACATGCCCGCATTCATTGGTTAAGAACGGCGTTTGTCCTTGTCAATCAGATTCGTGCAAAGGACAAATGGTTTTAGATGCCACCTCTGCACCAAGATGGAAATTGTCTTGCAATGAGTGTAATTTTGTTTCATTATTCTCTGACATTGTCAAAGGTGTGAATCTTGAGCTGTTTTGTTTGTTAACTTTTTATCTTTACATTTCGGGTGACATTAAATCCGGTCAATTATTTAACTTCCATTTTATTAATAAGGAGTCACGATACTTGATGGCGAGTTTTGTGAAAACGAGGATTGCAACGATTGTGTATTAAAAATCGAGTTTCGCGAAAATCAGAATAAAAAACCTTTGGAGGGGTGCGTTTTGTGTGACGAGGAGATCATTAGATTATTGGAGAACAAGTAAGCTATGTTCTATTTCGTTGCTATGGCTTGCAATATTTGTCGTTATTTCTTAAAAATTTCTATTATTAGGTTTGCGGGAAGGGTGCGAAGAGGAAGAGGGGGATCTTATGGAAGAGGCAGGAGAGGCAGGAGAGGTAGAAGAGGTGGTAGACGAGGCGCTTGGCGTGGTAGTAGAAAAACTATTTAGGGCATGCAACATCGTGTATTTATTCTTTCTTTGGACGTACATGGGTGACAGAATTATAGGTGGTCAAATATTTTTTATTGATGTTTATTGCCAAACACATCAAAAAATCGTCAATTTTATCAAATTATATTTATAAAAATTGGCTACCATCTAGAATGGTCGTGTCAAAATCTTTAATAAAAATGGAAAACTTATCTTTTATTTTTGATATGTAAAAGGATTTTTTATAGAAATAAAATCTAATCTATCGTATTAATAAAAAAAAACAATTTTTAGGATTTATATACAATATATTATTTAATCCAAAATTTATTTTTTTTTTGCAATACTCGTAGCCAGGTCAGACTAGTTTATTAATCAAAAGAATACATAAGTACATTTTCATTCAAGCAGCATGTTGCATATTATAGCTAAACATTATATCAAGTCTAACAAACTCATTATAAAACAGGTCTTCTTTAATCGTTTTTTATTTATTAAAGATTGAAAATCTTTTCTTTTTTATTTGTTTCTTTTAGATATTTTAGTAAGTCTTCTTTTTCTTTAAAATAAATAATTAGCTAATTATTTTCATTTATAAATTTTTTTTGAAAAAAATTTTATTTACCCTGTAATAACTTGAGAGTATTACTCAAGTAGATTTTAATTTCTTTTTATTTATTTATTTTTTTTTTTGAGTACCCATAGCCAGACTAGATTGTCAATTTATTAATCAATTGAAAACATAAATACATTTTTATTTAAGCAGTATGATACATATTATAGCTAAACTATTATTCTAATCTAACTAACTCATTTTAAGCATAAAAGTCTCTAAGTTTGACCTTGAGGACAATATTTTGCTCCATAATGTTTTTGGATAAAAACCCTCCTAGTTTACAGCATCATTGTTAGCAGGTTGTCACTGCTATATGTTATATTAAGCTATTGGAATAAAGGAACCTACAAAAGGATAGGTTGAAAAGGGGAGGGGAGATATCTAAAAATGTCTAAATAGACAACAAGAAAATGAAAGAGTTAAAATTGAAAAAAAATATTTCCAGCTTTCTCTAAAGATCTGTTTTTCAAGACCTCTTCTCAATAAGAAATGTTCAATTGGGATATTCTTTCTTTTTTTGATTATCTGAGAAACTTATCCACTTTTGATCTTGATTTCCTTCTTGTGTATTGTTTGAGGAGACTTATCTCCTAGTGGGAGTTTTTATTTCTAGGACACACTTAGTTCCAACCTTTTTTGAACAGTAATTTTTTATCCACCTGCAGTAAAGAGATAATTTATAATGAACCCCAGGTTCTTATGTGACCTAGTAAGAACTAGGTCATGTTGTTTCAGTGTGATACCTTTTAGCAATCACATATAATTAAAAAAATTTTACTAGTATAATTCTTCTATTATTCAAAAAACCAGATTCTCCAATAATTCTTTTGTCTTATAATGGTGAGAGAGTCACAAAAGTGGTAGGAATCCTCATCAATTGTGATATTCTTCAACAACTTTTGAAGAAATGTATTCTCAACTGTAATCAAAGAATTGAAGTTTAGCATGAACTAGAAACCATTCAGTCTTATTATCTAATCAGAATAAGAGGAAAACCTTGATCTTGAACTTTGCCTGACTGGAATAATAGGAGAGAAAGCTTCAGCTTGAATGAATAGCAGCTTTTTCATCACCTAGGGACTTGTTGCTCATATCTTATTGACCTTATGGAACTTGATCTGTAGGTTAACCCAATTGAAGGAGTGGATAGAATCGGGGTATCGATCAATTCTTTCAATCATCAATAATATCATCAAAATATGGGATATAACCAATAGAAGCTTGTTTACATTTAGTTACTAACATGTTTTATGTTAACCAATCAAATGCCAGGTAACATTATACTACCAGAAATTCAAGGTCAAACTGAGGTAGACAAAATTCCAAGAAAACCATAAAAAACAGTAGACACTTTAAGAGAGTACAAGATAGTATATAAGAAGGTGGATAATAAGCCTTCCCCTATCAATAAAACCTTTATTTCTTATCACTTCTAGCTCTATAAGGTGACACTCTACTTGTCAGTCCTTTTACTTCCTAGAACCTTCTTGTCCTTAGTAGAGGAAGTGTATACTTGAATCTTTTTAGGTCACTAAAGGCTCAAGTTTTTATTCAAAGGAGTTTATAAATAAGGGAGAATAGAAGAGATATATAAAGACAAGCTTCAAGTTATTTTAATGAAAGTGTAAAGACTTTATTAGTAAAAAAATATAAAACTTTTTGTAAACATCTTTTTTATATATAGTCAGAGGATCAGTGGAAATAGTTTTTTGTTTTTAATTTCTTTTTATATATCATTTGAAATATTTACTATTATAATATTTAATTTGTATATTTCTTTTTTACTTATGCAGTAAAAATTTGATATAGGATTTATAGTTCTATTTCTTATAGCAATAATTTATATTTATTCATATATCAATCTTAAATTTTTTTTTTAAATACTTCAAACTCTATTTTTTTTACTCTTGGGTTTTAAATATCTTTATCTTATTATTTATTTTTACAATGATAACAATTTTTATTGAAAAAGTTTTTATATTATTTAAAAAATTTTTTTTAATTATATCTAGAAATTAAATTTTGATATATTATTAAAGTAAATTCTCTTCTTTTTTTTTTTTTACTATCTTAGATAAATTATATATTAAATTAGAATTTATTTTTTATAAAATATAATTTTTTTATTTTTATAATTTTTTTATAATTTATATTTAATTAAACTATATTTATTATTGTTTTAGAAATACATATATATTTAAAATTTATTTATTTATATAATAAACTATTATAATGAATAGATTATTTTAAGTTATCTTTGATAAATAATTTATAAGTTTTTTAAAGATTTAATAGAAATCTAGTTTATTAAGATATTAGCTATCATTGCAAGTATTACAGATAACTTACATTATTACAAAGCTATTTTATAATTGATAACTCGGGTTTACTCACAACTGTAATCGATGTCAACATTTATA